TGGAAACACCCTGTATATATACACATATATACATATATGTTGTACTGCTGTAGGCTTTTATTTGGGTCGTGCACCCTCGATTACACTGTACATATTTTTGATCTATAAAACTATATATACATATATATATATATATATATATATGGAAGCTCAAAATAAGTTGTTCAAGTTAGTCTTCACGATATATACTTTCCTGTATAATTACAAAATCATTATTCTAGTAAACAAAAATTTTATGCCACAGAAACTCTATTGCCGATTAAATCTGGATAAATATTAATGAAAGAGATATACTTTTTGTTTAATGCTCAACAATATTTATCTCGCACATGTAACAATCATTTCATTTTATTATAAATCACAATATATATTCATTTATTTTTTACATTTCTCCTCGTGTACTCTTTGCTTTATACTATTTTTCATCAGCAACAATTCTGCTGACATAAGCATATTTTAGGCATTACACTTTAATGTACAATTTATCCGTCGACTAAATGTCCTTTTTTGAAGATATCATGATCCATGAAACGTGCGAGTAGAATATATTACGAACGCGTTTCGATCATGCGTGTATGCACGTTCCAGACACAATTCGAAAACTCTTCCACCAAGTTCGAACATTTAAGAGTCTCCTTGGGATGATCCTGGAAACACTTCAGGACTTTATTACTGTTGTCTAAACATGGTTGCACTGTACTCTGGATATCTGTAATTTTTTGTCCTGTAATGATATATATTTATGTTAAATTGCAAAACTTATTATTTACGTCACATTGTATAAAAGTTTCATTTAGTTTTGTCTAAAGCATTGTATATATTATTAGTATAATTTTTTTATTTAGTAAGTCAATCAAAGTGGTAAGTTATCCAAGAATTAATTTTATCTGTGCATTAACATGTAAAATCTAAACATCTTAGGATGGTATTCATATGGGTTTTCCACAGTAAGCCATTACCTAAGTTTTAAACTTAAGTCATAAAGCCGTAAGAAGCTGACCGATTATTTTTCTCACAATCGACTATGGTTTATTATCAAATTTGTTTTTCAATCGTGTACATCAAGCCTCAGCAGAAGTAGAGACTCAATATACACGATTGGAGATCAAATCACGATTAGAAAATAAATCAAAAGCTGTTTTAAAGAAATTAATCTAAACTCACCAGGCTTAGCAACAGAAGATTCGTTAGCTGCCTTCTTGTATTCTTCCTCTAAGACCCGATTGATCTTTTGATAACCATCCTCTATATTTCGTAGGCGCCTCTGCCAGTACTGATCCTGCCGCTTCAGCTCCTCTTCCATTTGCTGCTGCATTTGAAGAGCGGACACTGTCAACTCTGGATAATAATACACTGGATGGCCAGGCGTCGCTTCGCTGGCGTGAGGCACGGGTGTCACTGTGGAAGGCGTCGGGTGCTGGATCGGTGCGGCGGGTCTTGCATCCGACGGTGGCTTATGCGACTTTGATTTCTCTCCCTGGGCGAGACGCTGGACGATCGCGTTCGATACCTTGATCACCCCGACTTCCTCCTCGTTCGAGATGGTCAGCTTGCGGGCGCTCTGGCCGGAGCCCATTCTCGGGATCCTAATTTAGCAGCCCCGCGTGAAAAACCTCGTGATCTCGCTCGTCTGCAACAAACGATTTCTCCGAGTTTATCTCTTTTTTTTTTTCACGTCACGTCTGCGTCAACGTCGCTATCCAATGTCTTTTACGTGGCGAGCTTTATCCGTCGTCCTGGTCCGATGACAGCGGCCAGCCGTTTTTCCCAGTTTTTCGCCTCATCAATGATCAAAGTGAAATTACATAAACATTTCAAACCAGACAGAAGCATGAGAGCGAGCGGCCATACCCGGTTACCCGGAATTTAGTTGTTACTTTATTTTGAAGCGCCTCTATGTCCACAAAATGCAGACATGAACTATGTATTCAATATCCATGATCCCGTCGGTAATGTCCGCGATTTTTTCGTTCTATTATAAATATAAGATAGAACGGAATCCATCGGGCGGAATCCATAGACGTTGCTCAAGATTCGAGATGGTCTTAAGCTAGTGCATGAAGCTAGACGTTGCTTGAGATTAAGGGCGACTGTTACCAACTCCGATTAACTTAATCGACCGATTAGTCCATTGGAATTGGCCAATCGCCATCTGTCGTCAAACAAAATGACAAATGCGATTGATCAATTCCAATGGACT